CGACGTTCCATGTAGTGGAAATGCGAGGATGCGTCCTTGTTTTACTGGTGTGTGAATAACGAAATCTAGGTATACCTTTCCATATTTTTGATTTTTGTACACCTCTACTTGCGTGCGAAAATCACCACTTAAACGCTGTACAAAAGCTATCCACAGAACCAGTAGGAATTGCCTGGCCAGTCACGGTATTTATCACTAAACTCCTCTTAAAATTAATTCTTATAATTTATTGCTGGGAGTGAAATTTTAACCCTGGCATATTGCTTTATTAAGCGTAAGACTCCCTCATCAGTCCTACTTTTGGTCTACCAAACTCAATACCTACACCTGAGTGTCTTTTTTTTTTTTGTGTGTATGTTTTCTAGTTTGTTTTCCCTCTCCAAATGTAGAAAAATAAAGCATTTGATTTTTGATATGGTATTTGTCAAAATGAACATACAGTTACCTAAATTAGACACCTGACAAAACAAAAATTAGTTTATTTGTTTTGATCTTTGAGGTATATATTTTCCCAAGTTAGAATTTTGGAAACCAACGTCTATCACCTCATCACGTTATCCTGGAAACCCATAAAGAGCCAAATACATGCGCGATAAAAGGACCGGCCTGTCATATGAATCTGATCACATTGAAATATGTGAAATTAACCTCATAAATCCCTGGAGAGCCAATTTCGCACAGGCTATTTTATACTTTTCAACACGTCAGTTGTTTTGTTGTGCCTGCGTCTCGCCATTAGCTCAGAACAATTAGCGCGTTGTGTTTTGACCACATTTGCTGGAGACGCGAACTCGGAGCATACTGGCAACTGGACCCCTTGCACGAGAACTGGCGCAGCCGTGGGCGTTCCGCAGAAATCTCGCACAGAAAAAAGACGCTTTGCAGCAGCTGTGCATGGGCGCCGCCATAACTGACCTTCAGTTTTTGTTTCCTCTTATTACGTTCACTTCACTTCATTATTACCATAGCAGGCTAGGTCATTGCCATCCTAGATTTTATTCCGTCTTTCTCCCCAGCATTGGCCTTTCTGGAGGCTCGTCCACACCAATTTCAGTGGCTCGGTATCTCGGTAAAACAAGAGAAGGTCAGCAATGGCGGCTGTATTCTGGCGCGTGTGTAAAGCGTCTATAGACGCTTTCAGCGCGCGCCAGGTTGAGCCGCCATAGCCGACCTTCTCTTGTCTTACCGAGATGCCGAGCCACTGAAGCGGGCCTTGACGAGTCTCCAGAAGGGCCTATGCTGGGGAGAAGGACACAGTAACACTTAAAATGGCAATAACCGGTCCTGCTGTTGTAATGATGAAGTGGAGCGAACGGAATACTAGGGAACAAAAACTGAAGGTCAGTTATGGCGGCGCCCATGCACAGCTGCCTGAAAGCGTCTATACCTCGTTTCACCTTATGTTGTACCGCAGCGAAGGCTAGAAGCGCGAGCTCATAGCGTTGGCTGCTGCCCTTCATGCACGAGAGCTGGTGCCGCCGAGGTGTGCCCTAGAGCAAGGAGCTCGCGCTTGTAGTATTTCCTGCGGTACATCATAAGGTGAAACAGAGTATAGGGATGTCAATAGAGAGATTTAGTAGATCGTTCCGATACCTCCGATAGCCCCGATAACGATACTATGCATGCCCAAGGGCCAAGGGAGGCGGTGGCGGAGTATCGGGTACAGTTATCGGAGTCATGCAGAACGATCTACTAAAACTCTCTATTATCAGGATCTAGAAAAATACCACACTATACCACACTAGGGTGCCTTCATACACTTTCGCCACGTCTGTCTTAGGGTGGCGCGGCATCTTGGCCATTTCTATGCCCAGAATGCACGCGCTTCGATCTCGTTCGGTGCGAGCGCTTAGCTCTGCCCGGTGCTTTGGCGCCATTTTAAGGCCCATTCGGCACGCGCAGGCTGTTTTCAATACAACAATGGGTGTCTTCACCCTATGACAGACGCACATTGAGGCACCCTATACCGCAGCGCCACCACACATTATTTCTTGCATTGATATAGACGCTTTCAGGCTGCTGTTGTGTCCTCTTATTCCGTTTGCTCCACTTCATTACCAGAGCAGGACAGGTTCTTGCCACTTCAGGTGCTACTGTTTCCTTCTCTTCAGCGTAGGCCTTTGTGAAGGCTCGTCAACGCCCGCTTCAGTGCCTTGGAATCTCGGTAAGACAAGAGAAGATCGGCAATGGCGGCTCAATCTGGCGCGTGTTTAAAGCGTCTCTATACAGGTCCGCTGCCTTGCGCCGCGCTACAACGTTCTGTTGCCGCGCATTCTCACGATCGAAGCGCTTAGAATGAATTTACGCCATGTTGTTCAGTGTTTGGTTTCACTATGTTTTTCTTCGTTCTCTGTTGTTGTTGTTTCTGTTTTGTTATTCCATGCCCCGGGTGGCTGGCTGACAGGCACACTAGTGGCTCTCGCCTTTCTGTCTTTGTCTCGCAAGCCACTCGAGGTAACATTACTCTTGCAAATAAATATTATTTTATATTATTTATTATTAAGGCGATCCCATCGCCATCTTTTGGTTTAGAATCACACGAACCAAGGTGGGGTTGATCGTGATAGGCGTTTTGTTTGCTAGACGCTAATGGCAATTTTGTTTGTTTTGTTTACTGGACGCTTATGGCAATCAATTCAGTAGAGCAAAAATCTTTTATTTCTGTACACCCCCCCCCCCCCCCCCCCCCCCCCCCCCCTGTTTTCCTATCAAGCAATTCCACCGCCCCTGGCTCCATCGTTCAAGTGTGGCGATGTCATCATGAGCTCTTAAGGAATTGTGATTGGTCAACAGATTGCACGCGACCATATGGGAGATTTTTAATCTCGCCGTATTGTACTTTTGCCTTCGAAAAAACCTTCCCTGCTCCACAGCGTTGCTCTATCTGTTCTGCCATCGGATCCATTAGAGCCGGGAACACGAATGTACTGGCGTGTAATTGTGAACAAAAACGACATTCTTACGATCTCAGGGGATATTGGTAACTGCTCATTCCTCGCGCAGCGTGTAGAGTTTTGCGAATTATTCTAAATCGAGTGTACTTGACTTCCAAATATTACCCAAATACGCACTCTTTGCTAACTGTGTACGTTAAAATTATTATGAGTGTTCCTCTGTGAGAAATATCGCGTCACACCCGGTGAGCTTTTTTGGCTCAAAAGTTTTTTCTGTCATATTTAGCTAAATACTGATTTATTTATTTATTTATTTATTTCAAAATGCTGCGACCTCGATGAGGTCCATTGCAGGATTGGAAAAAACAAACAAACACAGATAAACATTCAAAAAGGCCAACGATTAAAGATGCTGTATTACTCGGAAATCTTGTTATTCGCATGTAGGTATTCTAATACACATTAGTTTATTTCCTTTTAAAATGTGTGCACTTTGAATGTTTTTGTATTTAAATGCTTATCTATTGTGTTTTGTGTGCATGTTTATACAGCCTGAAGTTAGTCGGCCATAACGAGCGACTTGTCTCTCAGCTGTAGATGAGCAATTTAGCCATGTACAGTACAACTCCTGGAGTCTTTAACCTGCACCACGCAGTAGTGATACACTACCGCACGCCGGTACGATGCTAACGCTTATCTAGGTCTATTTATTTAGCGTTTTTTCTTTTTCTCATTTACGTTTACTCGTTTATTTTCTGGCTTTCAAGACTGCGACAGGCAACAAATCCGGCCCCTTAGCCATAACGTTTCGAGACCTTTGGACCAGAGTCACTGAACAGGTTCCCTATTCAGTGACTCCCATGCAGTTTTCTATTCAGGCACAGTAATTGGTGACCTTGCACGCAACGTCTTTCCACCATGCCGGTGTGCATTTTGCTTCTTAAAAAAAAAAAAAAAAAAAGCCATAGGACACAGTTTAGGCTGCAAGAGACACGTGCCCAAGGCCACCACAATGACAGCAGGTGTGACGTCATTGCAGGTCGTCGAAGAACCACCGTTGTACGCCCACGGCTTCTTGGCCTGCCCAGCATTCCTTGCTTCAGACACTGAGCCAAGCGACGCCACCAATGTATAACAGCTCACTTTTGAACTATGCAGCTGAACGTTCCTCGCTTCATTCGCTACAGGTGTTCGCGCACCTGAACACCGTTACAGTTACACGTGTTCATGCCCGTGCGCGGGATAAACAAGCTTCCCCGAACTTATCTTTTCTAGCGGATGCTCGCTTGTCAGTATTCGTTGGAGTGCAAAGGACCTCTACTCTGTTTTCAATTACGCTTCGGCGTTTTCGGAACTGCAGTGCATCCTGCCGAAGAGGTGGTTGCATAAGAGCGGATGCTCGCCCGTCGGCGTCAGCGATTGGCTGCCTGGTGAATGACCCCCTGTCTCGATGATGAGGGATGCTTCTGCCGACAACCCCGAGAGCAATCACAACACGTCCACTAGGATATAGTGACGTCATCCCAGCGAGATCGATCTCAGTCACAGATTGGACACGAGTGGCATGTCGGCGTTCGGAATGGCCTCATGTCCAATCAACGCGTCTCTAAGGATTGTGGGTCCAATAGACCTTTTCGGAAATATGTGGCGCCCCCACAGTCTGCTTGATGCACTGTGACGCTTCGACGCATATGTAAGGCACGCAAGGATATCCAGGAATCGCAGACAAAGTTGACGTTGGTTTAATATTTTCTGATTTCAGAACACAGAGAAGGCAGAAGGATAGCCAAGCAGGGTATGCGGTGACCTCATTTTGTGTTCGCTTTATTTCTTGCGCTCTGCGACACGGGCAGTTCAGGTGACTCCCTGGCGCATCTCGGCGAAGAGATGAAAACAATCGAACACAATTCCACGTATGCTACTCGGACATGGAGGCCAGGGGTGGCGTGGGGGGGGGGGGGGGGGGGGGGGGCTGTAAAGTCTTTTCCCCCCACCCTCCTAGAGGAGTCCGTGAACGTTTCTTCAGCTTCGGCGGTAGTTATACAGATATTTATGCGGTATAGTAAACTGATGCACCAACCACTTTTTTCTTCTTCTCTTTTCTAGGTAATCTAATAGAACGCGTCGGAGAAAGAATGACACTCAAGGCCCGGATCGAAAATGGCATCGTCTATTCCCCATATCCATCGGAACCTGCGCCCGAAATGACGGTTTACCAGGTGGTGAAACAGTGCCTCGAGCAATATGGCTGCCGAACTGCTCTGGTAAGCTTGACAACAGATGTTCACTTTAACGGGGCCTTTGTATATATAGGGTGTCTGAAATACCTAGGCACGATCTAAAATGAACCGTAACAATAAGCGCCTGCACGCTGAATTGGGAAGTAATCCGTTACAAGTAACTGATTATTGGTAATCCTTTAGTTTTTCGAGTAATTTTGTAATTCCTACGTTAATTCTTTTGCGATCGTACTTTGTAATGCAATTTCGTCACAAATATTAGTAAAGGATTACTTTAATTACTCGTTCCCTTTTATTAAAATATTAACATAATACGTACAGAAACTGGATCGATATGAGCAGGCTATCCAGCAGCATAGAGATAGCCAGTTTAACAAAAGAATAACCAATAAGAAAACACGATTTTTTTTTTTTATGACCGGTCTCTAGAACAGCTGGAATAACATGTAAGGCATATACAAATATGCGAAAAACAAAGATAAAGAAGACAATGGCGGGTAGGCGCTGTATTTTGATCTCTTCGCGGACGTAGAGGCTGCCAATGAGCATAATCGGCGCTAGCTTTCTTTGCGGAATTGCAGGAATCATTTCCGGTTAACAGTGTGCACCTACATTATTTCTCTTAAGTACAATATTTTATTTTTACAATGCCAGCGTGTGAAAAATGGAAAGTAACTCTGCAGAAAATTTTTTGTTGGCGTTGTTTGGTGTTTGGCGCATTTAATTCAGTCCGAAGTTGCACGGTTACTGCACTGGCGCGTTCGATTCATCCCAGTTCTGAACGCGTTCGGACCCAGTTCCTCAAAAACCTTGCACCGGCTCCGAACTCAGTTCAGAGTCCGTGCAGAAGCGGACGACGAAAGCAACCATCTGCTTTCGTCGTCTGCTTCTGCATCTATATAGCTCAAATGTCTGCGATGCTTGACAATAACAACGAGACGGGAGTTACATTTCCTCTCAAACTAATGTACTCATGGTGGACGCGGAAGCGAGCTTTTAATGGAGGGTAGGATTTAGCTCAAATATGCTATTTTGAAAGCGCCTTACGCACCTGCTCGCGCAGGTTTGGCTTTCTATGGTGAGTGTTGGCAGCTTGGCTCACGTAAAGTGTTCTTTTTGATGCTATGTGGGTATTCACTATGTTGATATTCTTTTTAAAAGACAGAGGAAAAGTATTACACTCGTGATAGCCCCCGCCTTGAGCAGCATCTTGGAGGCAGACTAACGACTCCGGTACATTGCTGAGGTCTGCGATTTTGTACGGCCCTCGCACGCCCCAGTAGTTGAGTATGTTACTGCATGCGTTGTTCGCTGCTCTCCGTGGCCACCCATTAACGCGCATTAAAAAAAAGAAAACGTTAAGAATTGATATTGGTTTGTTGGTTCCACGTGGATTTTTCTTCAGACTAAGAATAAACGCTTGAACTTTGATTTCACAGTGACGGTCGATAACTCTTTTGGCCAAGGCGACACTCTGTCCAGGCCTTCGCCTTCGAAGTGTCCGCTACCGCGCGCTGCTGCCAGTAAACCCCGAATCAAAATCATCCTGATGCCGCGAACATACATCGCCGAAGTGCGAAACTCGAGAAACTTGGAGTCAATCCACTATTTCCAAATAAATATGAATTCTGTCGTGGAATGCGTTGTCGAAGGGCTCGAATGATTATGGGAACGATAGAAAGCGAACGGACGTCAACCGTTAAGAATGCAGACAAAAATAAAAGATGTTTACAAATCTCTGCAATGCGAAACTAGAGCGCAGCTCTTGAGGAGGAGGAGGGGAGGGTACGCCCCTCCTCCTGCTCCTCCACGAAGTCGTGGCGTCATTTCCCCGTTAAATTTAGCGGGGAAACTTAACCCGCTAAATTTAGCGGGGAAATATTTACGCGAAATATAGCGGCGAAATGTGCCGGACGTGAACAGACGTCAGGTCGTGCGACGTCCTATCACGTGACGTCAAGTTCCCCGCCAAATCTGACCGTAAAATCGAGTTCACAGTGTCACGCGATGCCATGAAGTCATGGGACGTCACGTGACGCAGCATATTTGCCCCATGGAGTCCAGCCTTAACCATGACGTCATGCGCATGTATTGGTTTCTAGACGGTATTGCTATACAAGAGTGCCGCGGATGGCGTCTAAATTGAGAACATATTGCAGGTCTGTGACGACGAAGAGATCACTTTTGCAGAGCTCCTCAAGATGTGTCAGCGATATGCCGCTGGGTTCCAGAGACACGGCGTTAGGAAAGGCGACAAGGTCCTGATACATTTGGACAATTCCGTGGAAAGCATGATTGCCATGTACAGCGTCATTTTTGCCGGGGGAGTTGCTGCCGTATCCGATCTGATCTTGTCGAACGGTGAGGAGAATATGTGGTTGTGAAATCCGCGAAAGAATATTTCGTAGAAAGGTAAACTTCGCTGCTTTGACGCTCTCGGCTACTCGATTTGCCAATTAAAACGCGAACGTGAGATTTGTCACGGAGACACTGTGAAGGTGACGTTCCTGTCTTGGGATTGTCAATGCGTCGAGAGTTTTTTTTTATCTTCTCACATTGCTTTTTTGTGTGCACCAAATAGTGTTTACTGATTTCGAACTTTCAACGCTTCGCCAAAAATGAAGGCAAACTATACTGCGCAAAAATTTACTATATATATATGTATATATATAAAAAGAAAAGAAACACACAACGAAAGATGGGACAAGGAAAGGCACATGCACTCCCGTGCTGTTTTCTCCTCTCCTGACCAAATGGGTCTCTGTTCTTTCTTTGTGCCCTTACCTCCAGGTGATTTCCACAACTCGTTTGGTTATCTCAACCACTCCTTGATTTCTTTTTAACTTTTCCCACCGCGCCAACTGTTTTTCTCACTCCTAAGGTAATGTTCTCGCAACTAGACGCTGCTTCTTGCAGAGTCTCGTGTACCGGGGCCACCTGGTTGCCGGACAGCTATGGCCTCCGAGGAGGCTGACCCAACGGCCTCTGTCAAATCACTTGTTCTGACTGAATTATGACACAACTGGGGAATGTTGACACCACCGACGACCCCACGTCACCAGTCTACACCAGCCAAACATCATTTCAGCAACTGTGACCCAATGGAGGAGTTCCAGGCAAAGAGATCGCAATAAATTCATCCTAGCCGACCGTCGCCGTAGAAGAACAACGGGTATACCCGGGCTATTGGCTTCGACAGAAGAGGGAGCTGAATTCAATCGCTAAGCCCGCCCAGGCTAAGTGAAGAAGTCAAGGCAGCTGCATGCGCACCCTTCGTATACGACATCGTTTACAGCCAATGGAGGACTACTCGTCGATGTGGCAGAGCCGGCGACGGTTAACTGACCGCTGAAGGTCCATACTCTGGCAGAGATCCCCGTTCTTGCCAGCATAACCAAAAGCGTATATGCAAAATATCGGACTGTTCAAAGGCGTGCCTGATTGGTACTCAAACTCAGAGTTGACTGACTTCCTCGAACCAGCTGGAGCCATTGAAACACGTCGCCTATACCAACGCAACGGCAAAGAAGAAGAAGCCGTTCGACCAACAGATCGAGTCATGATAACCTTTCGCCCTAACAGAAAACGCATCTACCAAGGTCAACCATGTCGTCACTTGACATGGGGTGAACGATTATGTCGAAGCGCCTCCAAGGTGTCTCAACTGCCAAGCTTTGGGCCATGTGGCGAAATACTGCAGAGGCACCACGACCTGCAAGCGATGTGGTGAAACTTATGCCACTAAGGCCCGATTCACACGGGGCAAGTTTGCTCATCAACTTGACGTCGCAACACCAGCAACACAGGCCGCCCGCGTTCACACACAGCAAACAACTGCTGCGATTTGCCATCATTATATTTAAATTTCATTGTTCTTGCACCATTTAGCACAGCGCTATAAACGTGTTTGTATACCTTTAAATGGCGTTGAGAATACCAACTTATCTTTCTGAAGCGATTTATCTCCTAAAACTATCAATTTCAAACCAGAACCATGTCTTTATAGTTGTGATGACCGCCGGTACGGGGTGTCACGTGAAAATATTGCGTCCCTGATTGGTCGCTGCCGCTTCAAACGTCTCCGAGCTGTCTGAGTTTCTCTTCCGTTTTAAGCCCTGCGCGATCCGAGCAATGTGTGTCGCACTAGGGAAAGCTAGGAAACAACTCGTCAGCAACGCCGAAATTGCTGGGAAAGTTGCCCCGTCCGAAGCGGGCCTGAGGACTGCAATTGCGAATCGCCTGTCAAATGCGCGAACTGCGGCGGAGACCATCCAGCCGATTACGTCAATTTCAAAACACAACTTCCAGCTCTGGCCAGGAACAAGAGTTTTGTCAGAGTCCCTAAACTTTTCCAAAGTGCTGATTGCACAAAGAAGGAACGTGACGCGTCGTCCTCCAACGTCACAAACCAAGATGCAAGAGCCACCGCGGCAATGAACCCAGTTACAATGCCAAAAAGAAGAAAACCAAAGCTGCTTAAATAAAAGATAAAAAAAATCTGGCTTTTTTTTTTTATGGAAGAAAATGAAGCAGCATACACCTCAAAAGAAACAGTTCCCAACGCTGCCACCACATCAAATTCTGACACTACGGAAAGGCGATTATGCAGCGACACCGTGACTGTAAAAAGGCCTCCTCAAAAACTTATGACGATCGGAGCCTTAGTAAGTTTAATACTTTTTTATGCCACCCAACTTTATTGCCAACTTTCTACCTGATAATTTCAAGATCATACTACAAGGAATCATGGCTTTCCAACCAGCTTAATCTACTGCCATGGTTGACACCCCAAAGCGTCACCAAACCCCTGAAGCAAAACAGCGACGTCTACAAATTCTCACGCAGGGGAACTCTGCGGGACTTCAACGTCGTCATGCGGAGCTTTCTTTGTGCTTAAAACACTCCCCAATTCCGAAAGCTGCATTAGGTGAAACGGGTCTTCCTAATGACTGCAGCATCTCTGGGTACAGGCGTGGGCTTTCTTTCCAAGACAGCATCGCAGACCTGCTTAGTTTAATTGACGAAAGTCACCAAGACCAAATATCGACGTTAGCAGTACCTTTCGATGTTACAAAATCCAATGATAACATTAATCTAGCCGTTGTTCTTGAAACGTTAACGGCCGTCGCTATCACGGGAAAAGTCCAGTCCTTTCTACAATGCATCCTCACAAATAGAACGCTCCATGTTTGACTTGGTGCACCCCTCAGTACTTATCGCATATGTGCTCAACGTTTACCTACAGAAAGCTTTCTCTCGTTAATACTTTTCAACATAGTTCTGGCCAGATTACCAACATCTCTTTCTAAGTACACTCCCCTCATCAATATATCACTATATGCAGATGACATTTGCATCTGGGTTTCAGCACATCGACCTCATAGTCTTCGAAACGCCACCCAAGCAACCATTACGGAATCAAGCAATGATTTACAGGACTGTGGTCTAGAGATCTTACCGGAGGAAACCGCATTCATATGCTTTTTATTTGGAAAGGCCGGAGACGGACTAAAATTAATTTGACTATTTGCGCCGTGTACGCCAGCACAAATTTCTGGGAATCACGTTGAACTCCCGCCTCAACGGGCATACGCAAGCCTCTAATATAATAAAATCCACGCTTACAGAAAGAAATGCAATACATAGAGTGGCGAGACAATCGTGGCCAAGCTCTACGAGACGCAATCATTCAGCCCTCATTGTCATCCGTATATTACACTCATTGCCTTTCATTAGATTATCGCCAACTTACACGCAGGCTCTGGAACGCATACATCGACAAGGTCATGCGTACTTGCCCAGAAGTACCAAGATCACTGAAGAACGAAAAGGTGTATGAAGAAACTCGTGTTCTGACTTTACCACTCATGGCTATCAAACGCCTCCTTTCTCAACAGATTTGTTTGTCCACCACGCCTGCAGAAGTGGTGCTTTCGCCTTCTATGTACCACATTTACAGCTAGAATGGAGCGGTTGACTAGAAGAGATGGTATCATCCGCAACATCTGAAATGCATGATATTCTAAAGCCCTTAAATGATAAGCAAACTGACTCCAAAGGCTGCGCTTGTAGTAACGATCCCTCTCGTGCCGCACTTCAACAGTTGCAAAAACCTCGACAAACGTCACAAGTAGTCATGGCAGCCAAATCAGTTACGAAATCACTAAAAGCAGGCGGTTTTGCTGCTGTCTTTCAGTGGATACCAGCGCATGTCGGATTACATGGAAATACAAGGGCAGAAAAACTTGCTTTCAACGCACACAATCTGCCCGTTAGCATCAAGACCCAAGACAACCGTATGAAATGTTACATTATAAATGACCACATATGTGATTTATCCATAGCTAACTCTTTTTCTCTCCGCCCGTGCCTAATAGAAAAGTCTTCGACGAGCAAAGGCCACACCTCTTTTTCGTCTACGTACAGGAAGTGCACGTACAGGAAAATTACTCCACAAATTGGAAGAAACGTCATACAGACACCTGTACCGCATTCGGTGTTGCCGAAGATATTTATTATATCCTAGAAGACTGCCAGAAGTTTAAGAAAGAAAGAAAAGGTCTATCATCACAGTTGAAAAGACATCACTTCGTCGTTGCAGACATTAAAGACATTATTTTCCCATCTGGTGCCTGTGCTCGGAGGAATCCCCTTCAAAGGATATTCCTAAACTTTCTCCAAATCACTGGACTACAAGATCAACTGCTACAAGCACAGCTAGTTCCTAATATTACCAGCAGAACGAAGTATTTTTGTGATGAATAACTCTATACCTCTCACACTTTTTCTTTATTTTTCACTCTCTATGCGCTTTTCGTCTATTCTTTCAATTTTCTTTTTTCTTCTCGGAGCAAACAATGTCAGCTTATTGGCTAGACTAACCCAATCCGAATTTCTTGTTTCTTTTAATAAACCGACTGTATTTCTTTGTGCCTCCCATACCACCAGGACGTTTTTATTCCACGTGTTCATTCTGAAAAGAGGCAACATGGGTTTTAATAAGCCTTAAAGGGGCCATGAAACCATTTTTCTACTTTCGCTAAATACTACTCAGAATCACTCCCTAACGTTAATAACGAAATAAATTTGCCTTTTATTTATATTTTCTTTCTAAGCAATGGCAGTCAGCAAGTAAATTCGACAAATATGGGCGTCGTTCATCCACTGAGCTTGGAGCCAGAACAAGCAGCCACGTGGCCTGGAGGCCGCCCCAACGCTAATCATAGCCACGCGCTTAGGTCGGCCGCCGAGACATTGATTGTCGCGAGCCCAAATCGAATGCTCACACAGTGCTCGTGTTCACACTGTGTGGGCTGCGTTTAAAGGAGCGGTGCAACGATATTCAATTGGAATGTCTTTCACTTTACACGAGCCTATTGGCACTAGTGGGACTCAAGGATACTCGCACGCAACGCCACTGGCCAAGAAACTTTTTTTGTTGCGGTGTAATTTCAAGGACAAAAGCGATCATTTTCATTCATTCTCCTCTTTGCAAAATTTGATGACGTAACGTGGAGATCGCAGTACACCTTGGTGACGATATTTGAATGCGGTCCATAGATTGGACCCGTGCATTGCGTGGGCACTCGATTTGAGCTTGTGATAGTTACTGGCTCGAGAAGCAATCGCGTAGTGGCCCGTGTCCAATCGCTGCAACGTATAATACCGAGCCATAAAAATGTCCGGAACTCAGCGCGTGTCCTGTGCTTTGCCAGCCCCAGCGCGTGGCCATGATCAACATTGGCGGCATATAATCGGCTCCAGATCACCTGGCCGCTTGTTCTGGCTGCGAGTTGAGGGGGTGAACGCTGCTCGTTTTTCTTTAATTTCTTTTTTTCTGGGACTTCTATTGCGTGGTGTGAAAAACGAACACGTGTTTCATAGGTCATTAACATCAGGGATCCGTTCTAAGCGGTATTTGCGCAAAGTACAAAAATTGTTGCATCGCCCGATGCAACAGAACCGAGCAAACTAGGGTGCCTTCATGTGCGCTTTGCTTAGGGTGGTGGCATCTCGCCATTTTGTCTCACACGTTTATTTTTATTTTTTGTTCAAAAGCACGTGAAAGAGCGTGGCTCTGCACGTGTTTGTGGCGTTGACTGTATTATGGCGACATTTTGTTTTCGTTGGTTTCTTTGTATTTTCCCTATGAGTGCGTGCTGTCGGCATCGGGTACTACAAAGGGTGGCATCACCCTAAACAGAAGGACATTGAGGCACCCTAGAGCAAACTATACCGCTTAGGTCAAATCTATAGATCGATGGTGGTTTGAAAGCATTGCATACATCAGTTTCTTCACTTATCGCGCTGGGATTTACTACAGAGTTGTTCGAACCTGGTGCATTCAATAATTAAGAATATTAATAAATGAAACCTCGGGAGTCAGAAAAAAAAGAAAAAAAGAAGAAAACTGGTTTTGTGTATCAAAATGTATCGCTAAGCCTTTTATCTCAAAATCATCAAAAAATCATAGTGGGCCATTCTTCCGTTTACTACGATTGAACAATTTGTGAATTTGAAAGAAAATATCGTATTTTTCACTTCGTGAAGACTATCGTATTTTTCACAAGACTATCGTATTTTTCACAAGACTATTTCACACAAGACTATCGTATTTTTCACTTCATTTGGCCCAAACAACCGCCCCAGTAACACATAATATTTTTAGTGTACATGCAAAATATAGGGACCACGTAGTTGTTTTTCTTGAGTTACTCAGATGAGTCAATCTTTCCAGATTTTTAGCGAAAGCTTCCACCAACTTCAGGCACCTCTGTTGTAGGTATTAGCGCGATACGTTAAAAACCCGATTTATGCCGTTCCATCAAATGGCCATCGATCTCTTTCACTCACGCGGTATAATTTGCAAAAGTGTTTCTCGCTTTAACAGGCATCTGGTGGCACCCAAGTGTTGTTGACGTTGCAAACAATGCGATCCCCAGGATTTCGTCATCAAGCTTTGCAACCCCCGCTGTGGCGATTTCGAAATGCGACTTTTACAGTGGACACGACCACTGCAGCATATTTTCATTCATTTGCCTTCTTTATTCGTTTCAGATGATCTTCTTTACAGAATTCGAGACAGCAATGCCAGCCACATCCTCACCTCAGCCAGTGAAGCTAAACGATTCAGCGACTTCCGTGACAAGCTGGACGTAAAGGTAGGCTCACGCTCGCCAATATACAGCGATCTAAAATGAGAGAGCACACTCCGCCTCACCGTCACCTGGCAAACGAAGAAGGCTATGGTTTCAGTGACCCATTCACCGCGCCGGAGAGAGACACGTGACTCTACTCTATCTTACTAGTTGATGACGAAGCCACGAAGAGAGGGAAACCGCGTAGTACACAATTTGAGTGGTTGGCTAATCTCTGAGGAGGACATAAGTGACATGACTCTCGCCCTCTCGCCCCTGTAATCGGTCTCTCAGTATAGGGCTGTCACGTGCTTCGCCTTCGTCTTCCTGATTGGCTAGAGGGAGCCGCAGCGTTTGCTCTTTGCCAGGTTAAGCCGGAGTCACACTGCTTATACATCGTACCATAGCCTCCTCTATTAGCGCCGAGATGTTTCGGTGGCGCCCTCTTATGGTTTCCCTCCGTGACGTCACGACTGGGATTTGCCTTGCCGTGACGTCACCAGTTGTTATTCTGGCTACTTACCGTCGGGTGCAACGACGAGTTCGATGGTGTGTTTAAAAAGCACAGTAGAAGCTAGGAGCCATCGCAATCCGAAACTAACACCGTCAAAGTTGACAATCTGACAGTGCTCATATGCCCATGGTTTGGCCAATCGTGGAAAGCTGACCACAGCAACGCTTTTGGCCGCGCACATCGCTAATACTCACAAAGCCTGGCAGTTCGACGACGGAGCCATAGAGTGCCCGGTCGCAGATTTGGAACACTAAGATTTCTCGGGGAACCTGGATGTCAGCGTACAACTTTTGCAGCGGCGAGGACCCGAAACATGGTATTCAAACCCGACGAGAAAACAAGCAGTAGCGCGAGGAACGCCAGGAGCATGAGCGGAAATTCCATTGCTCGGGAGTAGTGTGTTTCGGCGTTTCGCCGCAGCGGGGCGCCCGTCACCTGGCTGTCCTCTCATCCGTTGTCTGCCGCTCTACCTTTTCAATTTCGGCGGCCGCTTCTTGTGGCGATCTGCCAGGTTTTGTCAGTATAGTGGAGGCTATGATCGTACAACAGACAGTCTGCAAATATATTGAAACACAAGTCACCGCGAGATCCGTGCTTGGAATGCCGCATGTCAAAGAGTTCAAACGAGAAACTTGGCACATTCGAACCACGGATGATATTGCGTGAGTTTGCAGACTGTCTTTTGTATTATGTATGAGCAGTGTGGCCCCGGCTTTACGGTGAAGCTGATCTCTATGACAATTACTGGATCGCGCTTCCCCGCTCCGCAAATGCGATTATCGTCGGCCATCTTATGACATTCGCACTAGCGCTGTCAGTCGCCATGGTTACCATCTGTAGGTCACGTGACAACAGAGGCAAAGGTCACGTGACCTTAACGTCGCTTCAGCGGATGCCGTAAGATGGCCGACCGGTGGCCGCAATCGTGCAATGGGCTCGAAGTGGGGAATTGTCAAAGAGATCAGTGGGTGAAACGAAGGATTAACGTCAAGATGTTTTGGTGGCGCCCTCTTACGGCTTCGGTCCGTGACGCCATAACCGTGCATTTGCCTCGCCGTGACGCTACGATTTTTTAGGGGTTACAAGCGCTAAAAACGACGGACGAGTAGGAGAGACACACACCACAGAACGCTCTGTGGTGTGTGTCTCTCCTACTCGTCCGTCGTTTTTAGCGCTTTTAACCCCTAAACATGTTCAACCAACTAGCCCAAATCCAAACCCTTCTGACGCTACGAGTAGTGACCCTGGTTATTTATCATCCGTAAAAATCGACGCCTGCACGTAGCAATCTAAACTTTTCGTCAAAGGTGTATTTCACAGGTCGGTTTTTTCTTGTAAAATTACAAAGCGTAGTTGTCTTTCTGTAAAAAATGAGGCCAAGAAACTTGCCACGGTCTACGGCGGGCAGCGACGCAGACGACAGGGGTTCAGTAGCGGTTCAGTAGGTGTGTTTGTCGTTCGTGACGTGGCAATTAATGGCGCGCGTTCAACCCTTTCAGGGTTACTTCTCCGTGGGAACCACCCCTGGTTTTGTTCCCGTGTCCGACTTCAAGGAACTGAACGAAGACGCCTTCCAGGAACTCCCTGTGGCCGACGTCAAGAAGGAGGCCGTCGCACTGTTGTACACATCGGGAACAACGGGTAGCCCGAAGGCCGCTGAACACACGCACTACAGCATTGTGGCCTTTTTACCTCGTCCCGGGTGAGCTCTAGAACTTAGGTATGCGCGCTCGGAGGAGTACTACAATTGACAGACATTTTTTTTTTTTTTTTTCTGGGTATTCTGCGAGTACTTTAAAGAAATTCCTAAAACAAGACTGGTTGAGGAAAATAAAAAGCTATTTTCTGGAACAAACTGCTAGTCATTATGGACGTCAGTAATTTAAAAAAAACTATTTAGTAATTTTATTTTCTAAAAATCTAACTTACTTCTTACTCCCCGCCGTTTCGAATGTTGTCCACGACGATAAATGGGATGGCGGGAGCCATCCCTCTATATTCAAAGAGGAAATCGCCCAGCTGCGTACGTCAAGTCGTTCCTACTACGCAAACGCTGTCGGCGCGATCTGATACAGCCAATCAAAAGTACACCGCCACGGCGCTTATCGTCTTTGTGCGCTTCATGTAACCGACTAAACCAATGCGGAGCGCAAGTTCGTCTGCTTCTTTTGCAGCGGTTGTGGTGACGTCAGAACGCCGAGCTCTCATTGGTTCTGAATGAAGGATAGCGGGTAGACCTCAAGGAAGCTTGCTTCGAGGTCTACCCACTATCCTTCAATCAGAACGCTCGGCGTCTTTATGACGTCACCGCAACTCTGGCGCGAGAAGCAGACGACTTGCTCTCCGCATACCACAGAGTGAATGCGCCGCATTCCTGAGCTTTATTCTTTGCGTGCGCGTGTTGCTGACTCAGGATATCGTCCGGCTCTATCGGCAGCGAACTTCGCTTCTTTCGCTCGCTCTTGGTGCCGACGTCGCAAAGCCGTCGCTATAGGTCCCGGAGCAGACGACGCACTATTTGCTCGAAAGTGGAGGTATACTGCAAGCGAGCACACTATGCAAAGACCAAGTCGTCTGCTCCTTGCTCAGGAGTTGCGCTGACGTCAGAAGGACGTCAAGTTCTGATTGGATGTGATCTAAAGGATAGTGGGTAGACCTCGATGCTAGATGCTTTGAAGTCTACCCACTATACTTTTTTTTTTTTCAATCCGCCAATAAGGGTATGACGTTGTGACGTCGTCGCAACCCCTGTGCAAGAAGCAGACGAACTTGCGCTCCACATACCCCCGTGGGCGGAGCCAATATTACTCCCCAGAAAACACTGCCTGCGCATGACGTCATCGTTTGTAGATCCCCCCGACCTGCCCCCTAGCGGCAAACACGCCGAAGCTCAATGAGAGGCGCCGCAAAGCTAGCAGACGAGCGTTCGTTTTGGCGTCGCCGCGTAGAGAGACGCTGCGAGACACGCTGGTGCCCTTGCGACGATGCTGACGCAAGCTACGTGGTGCTGCATGTATCCACTATAGTGATAACATAGGGGGGGGGGGGGGGGTTGAGGCGCAGGATTTAGGTTTTTGGTGGTATTGGCGGGGCGTGCACTCTACTCGCGTTTGCCAGCTGCCACGCTTCAAAAGCTAGTCTGGCCACCGTGAATGGGAAATGGTTTGTTTGGGCGCCTCTCTGGCAACCGTCGCGTAAGCAGCAAGGTGAAGGCGCCCAGAGGCAGTACTTGTAAACCTCTATATATACCAGCACACCAGCAACAAGCAATATTGAACCCTCCCCCCCCCCTCCCCGCATAAAAAAGTGTTCTTAGAGTGCAGCTCTTAGGCGCCCGTTGCCGGCTTGAGCGGCGTCGCCGTCGGCGTAACCCTGACGTCACGGGACCCCCCCAAGTCACGTGACCCCCACAGGTCATGTGACTCCCCAGGTCACGTGACCCCTCCCACAGGTCACGTGACCCTTCCCCAAGATCATGTGACCCCCGTGAGGGGAGGAGGAGAAAGGAGAGATATACCATAGCTCCCCTCAGTACCCTTCCCTCCTCCTCCTCAAGAGCTGCGCTCTAATTTGGCGATACAGAGAGTTGTAAACGGCTTTAATTTTTTTTCTTTTGTGTTTTGTTTTGTTTCCTACAAAAATAAACAACGCATCGCCGAACGATCATTATCCGCCAAAATGTAGCGCTAGCGGTTCGAATTAGACGCCAAGGGTTCTTCAGCACTAACCGTTATCTTATTCAAAAGTTATAAGTGACGTTCTAAAAATTTCTCTGGGGTTATGGGGGCCCAGTTTCGCCCGTTTTCGTTAACAGGCGCCATTCAGCTCCATGTATATATCGAGAGCTCTGTCGGTCACCATTTTCCCATTGCAAATTTCAGAAAATCACGTACAACTTTTGACTAGTATAGCGGTTAGTGCTGAGACTTTGGCAAATGGTTCGGACCCGCTACATTTGGGGGGATAATGCATGCGTTCGTCAATGCGTTATTCTTGCGATAAAAAAAAAAGATAATCCTGTCCATTTTTTTTTTTTGGGACACCCTGCAAAATACACAGTATTTAACTAACAATATACATCATGAACAAACAAAGCCGCGTCTGCTCACACTAACTGTGGACATTGCGCGTGCGCACAAGCCAAATTCCCGTTAGATGAACCGACTGCGCATGCCCAGTGCCGATAGCAGCGCCACCACGCTGTCGTGACGTCAATTAAGGGTCGAGTAGGTGCGAGGGTAGAGAAAACGGGGACGTGATAATGTTGGTATCAATAGTTGGTTAACAGAATCAGTTATTAAACCGTCGTTTTTGTGTGTGTGTGTGTTCTTTTTTTCCTTCAAAATGTCAAGGTCTCATCAAGTGTCCGACGACCTCGATGTTGTTGCTTCCCACATACCTATAACATCGGCTTTTGCTTTTCGGACTTACCTGCGAGACATCACCTCTGGAGCGAAGACTGTCCTTTTATCGAAATCTACGGACGCAGACAAAATGGTGGATGCAATTAGAAAATACAAGGTATATATGACACTCACATTATATTTCATACGCTAAGAGGGCTGCGTGATATTTAGTCACGCGATTTTTTAGCCGCTAGTACCTCACCAGCAATTAGTACAAAATTTGTATATTAAAAGAAAAAGCCATTCTGAAACTTATATGTCCTAAACAAAACAAAAGAGTACTGAAAATAACGCCGAGTTGAAGAATGTAAAATTGCAGCAAACATGGGCTGACAAGGATTTGACTAAATTTAAGGAGGTCTAAATAGTTTCATATATAATATTTCGCAAATGTATGAACACCTCTTTGGCGACTTCCAAATTTCCCTCAACCGGCCACCTCGTTGCCAGAACGCTTTCCGGTTCCGAAATGAACCTGCGCTGTTAGTTGTGAGATTTTACTTTTTTGTAAAATAGTTTTTGGTGTTGCCGTCCAAAGCTAAGTTCTTTCGAAATGCCCGGTATACTGTGTTACCGATGCACCATATGCGGGAATCTGTGAGCTAACTCGCACAAGTAATTTTGTGTCGTTTTCCGCGCGATAAAACATCGCTGCCATCACCGTCGCACATGGACGGCGGTGCGATCATGTTTTCTTCGCAAATCGCCGGCATGTCGATGAAACGTCGTTGAAGATCAGGTATGAAACTTGTGTTGATGAGTCTTTCGTCGGCGCAAAGGAACGCCGAGTCTGCCAGGCCAAGAGGTTGTTATTAGCATATAAATTCTTTAACATAAAGCTACCAAGGAAGAACAGCCTTGTATAGTCACTTTATTTATTAAGGTGTGTCTATTAATGAGGGACTACCTTTATAACGATCGGCCTTTGTAACTCATGCGACAAGTTGACTGTTTAAAAGTAAATTAAACATTACCCTACCGAAAAACTCGGTACTTTTCACTATCCAGATTATGGAACTGGAAATTTGTTTATGGAAACCCGAAATTCAGATTGCAGAGAAAGGAATAACGCCTAAAAACTTTAATTCCAGATAGAGTCCAGATAGAATCCAGATAGATTTCTGGCTCCATAATCCGGATACCGAAAAGTTATACCGGATTTTTTTGCACCTGTGTGAATCGGGCTCGACAGGAAAACACAAAGGAAAGCATAGACAATTCTCAGCAAGCTCAGCAATCTCAGCAAAATTACTTTTAGTACTCACCATTATCCTATTCAAAGATTATAAAATGATTTTTTTTTTAAATTTTAATGAGAAAACGGCGACTGACTGAGCTCTCGAATACACTGTGGAGTGCCAGTAACCAAAAACGGTAAAACATCAGCCAAATATTTTTCTTTTGGAATTTTTAGAAAATGACTTGTAGCTTTCAAATAAGACAACGGTTAGTGTTGAAACTTTGGCATCTGGTTCGAACACCAGGTGCTACACTTAGGCGGAGATTGAGCGTTCGGCGATGCTTAGTTTATTTTTGCGTTGAAAAAAAAAAGCACTGTGATTTTTTAGGGGGGGGGGGGGGGGGTGAGGGGGACACGCTGTTTGTTGTTATTCTTCCCCAATATATCACGCAAAGAATAGTATACTGTACTAGTTCAAGTTCAAGGAAGGTATTTCCAAGTAATGAGCATTGGCACATGAAATATATATTCGACAGTATCGCTAAGACAACCTCCGCTAAAGCATTCTTAAAGCGGGGGATAGTGCTGCGAACTCCCTTGAGGAAGGGCGTTCGCCTCACTCCGTACCGTAGCACTCTTTTCCACTCCATCTTGATACCCTTCAAAAATGAGGGCTATTTAATGGTACGGCATCCTACCTTACGTTTTAAAAAAAAAAAAGTACATTACTCGAAATATGGTGTAGGTTTTTGGAACAGCTTTTTTTCCACCGGTCAGAAAGCTCATATACATGCCTACAAAAGACACTGCGTTCACAGTATACATTATGCCAAAAATATCTGTGGATACGCGCCCCATGCATGTTGAAACATGTTTGGTGTCATACATACGCATGCTTGGACCATGTTTGTAGAAAGAGTTTTATGACCAGTGTTACAGTACAAGCAAGAAAGACATCCGAGACCGTGTTATGCAGCCTGTCGTTTGGATGATGTATTAGCAGTATGACCATAGGGCGCAAAACATGTTTATATGAATAAAGTAGTGTTTACAATTCATTTCGCCGCTACGGAATATGCGAGCTCCCTTCGGAATACCATTTGCGCAACCGCCCCATGATTCGAATCCCTCTCCCCTCACCTTGGCGCAGGTGACTACGGTGTTCGGGGGTCTACACTGGATTGTGCTGCTTGCCAAGGCGATTGAGCAGCGAGGAATTCAGCTGGACAGTCTAAGGACTGTCATTCTGTGTGCCGCAAAGGTCACTCCCCAAAGTTTGAGGCAACTCGAACGGGCGTTTGACCTGGCCATCGTCAAAGACACTTACGGAACTACGGAAGTCGGACAGATATGCAGACCTCCCTTGGGCAAGTCCAGTTGGTACGGCATCGGATTCCCGTCCCCGATGGTACAAGTTAAGGTGAATTTGGTTGCATTTAGTGATGAGTACGAGAGGTGTGCGGATAACTCGCAACTATTGGTATCATTTTTCCGCTGTCGACATGCTGGCCACAATGGATACTGGTTTGTCAACAGGTTGTTGACGTCAAGAGTGGAAACGTACTTGGACCAAACGAAGAAGGAGAAGTGCTAGTGAAGACGCCACGTTCCATGAAGGGCTATTACGGACACCCGGAAGCTACATCGCAGACAATTACTCCCGATGGTTGGGTACGAACAGGTAGGGGATGGCGACTGCTCTTGTTAATAAGTCAGTCAAAACTTAGCTTTCTCTTCGGCATTTGCGAAACTCCTTAGCACCCCTCGTTTTGCGGTGACAGTAAGGAGACCGCTGAATAGCACGTTGCGAGGGTTTTGGGAACATATAAAGCCGCCATTGTCACGTGACTCTGTGATGTCGTTTGACGTCATGTCACCGTGATGTCCCGTATACGGGACATCACGGTGACATGTCAGAGTGTCAGGTGACACCACGGTGTGACGTCGGTGTCACGTGACCTTCCAGAGAGTACCTTTAAATGCTACGCATTCAGCGCACCTTCTGGTGGCGTCTCAGTGTCAGGGGATGCAGGGACGTCATCGAGGGTACATCTGTGGACACGAAAACCCTAATGCCGCGTTAGGCCGTTTCGGCATAGCGCTGCCGTGCGGCATTGCTACTGCGAGCTCGCGCTGTCACCTCGAAGAATGCTCTTGAGCGCGGGTCAGGAATCTTACTGTGGCCATAGTAGAATGTGGTGACGCGGTCTGCTAAGACTGCCTATTCACACGGGCGGTTGAACCGCACCCGCGAGGCGGTTGCCAACGCTTAAGGCCCTGTCACAATGAGGATTCAGTTAATAAATTTCACGCCCGTTTTATGAGAAAAACAAGCGGACCTCTTTCGCAGTTGCGATTCGCACACAGAAATGGAACTCTAATTTTTTAAAACCCAAATAGTCGTATCAAACAAAATAATTTCTTCTAATCTACCCGTCGCAATGAATTTTAAAGGATTCTCATATCCAGATCGAATTATAGTTTGCAAAGGCTTCACTATTCGAATTCTCGGCTTTTAAACCACATTAGAAACACCAATACTATATAGATCTACGAAATTACGCGATGGAATGTAATTTTTTCTTGTTGTTCTGGCGCGGTTGGTCTTCTTGTAACAATTTTTTATGTTGCTTTGCTCACTCTGTAAATCGGTATTTTTGTGCTCGTTTGTTTTTCATAAAGATATGTTTGCTCACCAAATGCCTATTTATATGAGAACTCGTCAGCTTTAATTTGTAGCTTTTCTTTCTTTTTCCCTAATTTTCCCACAATTTTTTAATGTAAAATAAACATTATTATTATTATTATTATCATTCATTTAAAAGTTGGAGATATTACTGCAGCAGACAAGCTTCGTTTCGGCTGCATGGCATACTCAAAGACCTCTTTCCATGCACCACTTGAACGTCTACCACCACGGCTGCTGTTCAAAGCGTGCAATCGTGTATCAATCACCATAGCAACATACGGGTGAAAGCACTGCGGACCGCAAATTCGTCTGCTTTTTGCACAAGGGTTGCCATGATGTCAGAATGCCGTGCTCTTATTGGCACTCTGCTGGAAGCCTTGAGGGTAGACCTCAAGGCAGCTAGTCTTGAGGTCTACCCACTATCCTTCAGTCAGAACCAATCAGAGTTCGGCGTCCTTCTGACGTCACTGCAACCCTCGCGCTAGAAGCAGACGAACTTGCACTCCGCGTAGTGATGACGTTTGGGGGGAAAGGCCTTGTCTTCAAGGCTCGTTGCTCAAGCACCCACTCCCGTGCCATTCGACTGCATGGCCACAGAAAGATTGTCTCAGAGTATATGAAAGGTTTTTGCGGATTCTCGTTCTTTCTCATTTGGATATGTTGGCCCTTGTAAAGTCATCAGCTAATCTTCTGAGAGCGTGCATCTCCTACTTATTGATTTAGCTTTACTTTACACCAGCTCATGAACTGGATTTTGAGCCAGATATGACGACTACACGCTTCCTTCCAGGTGACATCTGCTATTACAACGAAGTCGGTCAGTTCTTCTACGTAGAAAGAATGAGCGAGTTCTTTCGCTGCATGGGCATCCCAGTGGCGCCCTGCTCCATTGAAAGCGTGTTGCTCAGCCACGACGGAATCGAAGAGGCAGCGGTCATTGGTGTCCCTCACCCACGATACCAGGAAGCGGCCATGGCGTTTGTTGTGCTGAAGAAATCTTGTAGCAAAATCACCGAGGAAGAGCTCCAAAACTTTGTTGCAGGCAAACCTCAATCTCGACATTTCTTTTATTCCTGTTGTTTATATTGCACCATGAGCATATTTTAGGCTTTAGAGGTGGAGAATCACATACAACAAAATTTAATGCAAAATTAAGTAGAAATACCGTAGCAGTTCGGGGTTCCTTTTTCGATTGGAAGCCTTTGATATCTCGTCGCCAATGCTTCCGCCTAAAACATCTCCGCATAATCTTTTATGAACAATAGGGTGTCGAGAAAACAAAATACTTACTTCAAGCTCCCTTCATTTCACACAGACGGGATCACACAACAGAGATCAGGGACCTTTTTAATCTAAAACCGACACTCGTTTTTTTATGCACAACTCTGCGCTGGTATAAACTAAAAAAAAAAAAGCAATCTCAAAAAAAAAAAAAAGATACCTTTTTAATGCGATATCATCTTTAAGCTAATCACAAATTTCTGTCAATGTATCTCATCTCTAAAGCAGTCATATTTCCGTTAAATTTAGCGGAGAATTGACTGTACGTTACCTATGGACAAATTCAGGTTCCATGCTAAATTTAGCGGAATCAGGTTCCCCGCTAAATTTAGCGAAAAATTGACCACCACTCGTGGCCTATGCACCAATTCAGGTTCCCGCTAAATTTAGTGGAATAAGGTTCCCCTCTATATTTAGCCGAAAATTGCCTTGACGTGACCTATGCACCAATTCAGGTTTTCTGCAAAAGTTAGTGGAATCAGGATTCCCGCTAAATTTAGCGTAAAATTGACTTCACGTGACCTATGTACCAATTCAAGTTCCCGCTAAATTTAGCGGGATCAGGCTCCCCGCTAAATTAAGCGGAAAATTGACTTTACGTTGAAGGCCGGCACGTCCCTCGTGCTACGTATGTGATACTACATACGTAGAATTAAATTATCGCGTGTTACTTCGATACTACGGATGTGCCACGCCAACTGCATCATGCGGTGTGCTCCTCACTTCACTGCCTCTGTCACTCAGGCATTCGCGCAACGCAAGAGCTGGTAACGAACCGTTTCGTATGGCCCAAAATCAACGCCGACGTCCGGGTCACCGATTATGTTGGAACCAGGAATATAGCACCCAACATATTTTATGTACAGTGCGCCTCAAACCTAACGCCGCCACGGCATTCGCCGTTTTTGACAGTCCCTGTGGCGGCCGATTGAACTATCTGAACAATGTTTGGGTTCCTGATTTCTATCCCATCCTGAGACGGCATCCCGAACGTTTTGGTGACAAATTTAACAGTAAGTAGCCGACACGAGCTCAATGTTTGGGAGTCCAGTGGCGGCGTTAAGTTTGAAATGCACTGTACAATATTTACAAAAAAAAAAAAAAAAAGGAAACTGTAGTGGACATCATTCGATGTATATAGCCGCCGGCCTGCTCGGTCACCGAATCTGGTTGCTCGTGGTGTCCCGTTCTGTCTGCTCGCGCCGACAGGCTTCTTTTTTATCTTTTCATTAACACCACTAGCTCGACTGCTGCAACATACAATGCACTACCTAAAGGCACCTTTCTAAAAATTTTAATTGCACTCGGTTTGTTGGTTTAATTATACGCAATTTTTTAAGCCCGATTACAGTTTAATTGGGAAGTTATTCGAGTGCATTGTACTTAAAGTACCACTTCGAGCAGGTTCAGAAAACTTGTCCTTTATTTGAGGTACGTTCTCTGAGTGTGTGTAGTTGTACTGAACTTAAAAGTATTCTTTTCTAGTACTTTCCGTGGAAAGCTCAACTGGCGACTTCAAAGAATACCGCCCAAATTTGAAAAAAAAAAAAAAAAAAAAAACAGAAACATATTGTCATGTGAAATTGCGCTATCGTCCTTCGAGATATTCATCTGGTCACTTTTCCTGAGTGAAGTAATGGCGGCTATATGGCGATACAAATACGTGCATTATAAGTTGCTTGTGTTAAATAGTTCCTCAGTGAAACTAAATCAACTACAGATCTATGGCAACTTAATTTTAGCCACTATTAGCCGTCATTTCCGAAAATAACTGATGCCCCTCATTTTACCTAAAACAATGCATTCCAGTAAAAAAAAAAAAAATACAACTTTGTATGAGGGAATGAAATGCTATCATGAAAGATTGGAAGACATGAAAAAAGTACTTGCATTCAACTTTGAAAGTACATTATATTTATAGTACTTTACTTCCAGTACAAGGTGACCGGTGTACTTACTACATTTCTTGAAGTACACGACCTCTAATTTACTTCGCACTTTAAGTACTTTTTAGATGTACGGTGCCCAAAAAGCGTTGAGATTTTTTAAAAGTTGTAATTAACGGTTTTGTATATTAATCTTTGTTCTAGAAAGTGTCACCTGTGTACGTAATATTCTGAGCTCTTCCATCTCTTCCCAGGCCAACTTGGAACCTACATGCACCTTCATGGGGGCGTGAAATTCGTTGACGCAATACCAAAGAACGCCAGCGGTAAAGTAATGAGAAAAAAACTGCAGATGCTTCATCAAGACGGCTAATATCACTGACTGTGTTCTACAATAAAACAAGGCTTCGGTCGGTTTTGATTAAAAAAAATATAAAAGACGTTTACAATTCTTCGTAATGCCGAATTAGAGCGCAGCTCTTGAGGAGGACAAGGGGAGGGTACGGAGGGGAAGGTATATCCGTGTGACGTCAACCTCGTGACGTCACACGTGACGTCACGTTCGACGTCATTATGGGAAACGTCCCATGATGCAACGCGTGGTTAAACTGCTCAACCCCGAAACGGGCGTCTAGGAGCTGCGCTCTAAAAATTAGCTATCGACCTAATAGCCTTAAAACAAGTTGTGTGCTAGTAACGGACTTTCTTTATACGATTCCTTATGCGGAGCGCTAGTTGGTCTGTTTCTTGCGTAGGGGTTGCAGTCACGTCAGAACGCCAAGCTCCGATTAGCTCTGATGGAAGGATAGTGGGTAGACCACGGTGTAAGATAGACAGGTGGGGAAACGGCCCATAGAAGCCTACCGCAGCGCCGTGACCGGATTGTGTACTCGTCTGCTTGCGGGTACCCCCTATTTGCGACAGATGGCGCTGCGGCGAGAGGAAAAAAATTGGAATCGGATTTGCATGGAACTTAATGGTAGAGTGCGAAAAATAAACCGAGAGCACGACAGTCCTCCATTGAAAATCCACGAGAAACCATCTCCATCAGTTTAACCGGTCGCCAGCATTCGCTCACCTGGAGTGAGAGTTCGCGGTGCTCCACATAGATGGCGCCACAGAAAAAGAGAAAACCGAGGGGGACACAATCCGGTCGCTCATTTGGCTCTCGCTTCCCCACCTGTCTATCTTACACCCTGGGGTAGACCTCAATGCTAGCTGCCTGGAGGTCTACTCACTGTTTTTTCAATCGGAGCCAATAAGAGATCGGTGTTTCTCTGACGTCACCACAATCCCAGCGCAAGAAGCAGACCAACTTGCGCGCGGCATTGTTAGTTGAAGATTGAACATACTCAAGAAGCAACGGAACCCGGGTAAGGTCCAATAAAGGCTTTGTCTTCATAGCATTGAGCGAGAAAAAAAATGTATCGAAAACATTACAGTGTAAAGAAAAAGAACACAATTTATAGATTTCCAAGGGGGTATTTAGAGTAGATTCAGTGACAAGGTAAAAACTGCAGGAGGTAGCTTCAGGGGTTCCGTCTTCGACAATGCTTCGGTGTCTCGTGGTCGCGGAACTCGAGCGTGCACGGGCAGCCAAAGCACGTCCTGTCGCTCTCGCTCTATTAGTGACTGTAGCAGCAGTTAATTATGTGCACCCCAATACGGCATCACCCCCTCCCTCCCCCCCCCCCCCTTAAAAAGATATTAAAGAAAACATTTTTTGTAGGAAATCAATTTGCTCTTCTTACAATGTTTCGCGCTTCTTACAGATTGCACGTTTTCTTTTCTTTTTTTTTTCACCTTGTCAGAAATAAATAATAGCTGTAAAATTAATAACAAACACTTGTTGCGTTCCTGCTCGTGGCACAAATACTTTTTTTTTTTACACGTCTGGGCGCCGAGATTGACGTCACGACTCACCAGCCATTGACGCACGCGCTTTGGAGGATAAGTTTTGGTTGTGAGCCCGGCCTGCACAAAGATTGCATTTCTTGCCCTGTAGCGCCCACTGCAAAGTTCTTAATTGACACGTCACGGCTGGACTATGATGAGGCTGAGCACCAATTTTTCTTTCAACTACATTATGCCTCAAAAATAAAAAGGTAAAAGTTAATTAAAACTTTTTTAGTTAAGTAGCTAACTATTAACTAATATCACCTCTTTTCTAAAACCCTAACGCAAGTTCCTTTTTTTATTATTTCTGAAAGTTTTCAAAACATGATTAAAAAAACCCGAGACTGCAGGTAACGACACACACACTCAAAAGTCGTTCCAAGCAAGGGTATGGTGCCTGGAACGCGTCTCCGACTGGTGTGTTTACCGCAGCCAAAAAAGTGGTCCCTCGATTTCCGCCTGATGACGTCATAAAAGTGTCATGCTGTCGCCGGTCGCGACCCTGGCGGCGTCCCAACAGTTGTGGTAAATACGGCAGACGCCTGTTCTGCTGCAGGTCGCTTTCCATTGTGACAGTTCACGGAAGCTAGTACAGCCGGAAGTTGGGACGCCCAAAGCGACGCCGTGACGACAGCGACATTTTCGTCCGCTCGTGCTTTTCGCCAGCATTTCTACGATCAACCGCCAGGATCGCGACAGGCAACAGCATGACACTCGCGTCATTTGTTGCCACTTCGGGACCACTTTTGATGTATGGGCGGGATAGGGCGCTAAACACACCAGTCGAAGACGCAATCGAGGCACCATAGCAAGGGTAGCACTTCACTGCATCGTGCGTCTTAATGTGGGGAAGCCCAACACTTCTGAGCGACCCATATTTGGAGTGGAAGGCTTCACCTTACGCACTTAAATACCGCAGTGAAGCTTCCTGGCTCCTTCATAAGTGTATTTTTTATTTTTATTTATTCGTATGAATAATAATGCCGGCCTACTTTTGTGGGCCAAGGCATGTGAGCACATATGTTGCATATCAACAGCGCAGCTCTAGTGATACATGGCTTCAAAAAACATAGTTGAGAAAAAGTAAAAGGCATATCGTACGAACGCTTTTCAATAAACAGGGGTAACACTTAACTGTTACATTTAGGGGCCGGGATGCAAGTCTGGCAAAGCACTTTATTGCGAAGTGCAACACAGGCAGCCTGGGGACCAACAACTAGTGGTACATCAAATCGGGGCTCAATATATACAGATAAGATAGACCGGACGCAGGCGCACAGCACTCTGACGTCATACATAAAAGTGCATACTTCATGGCATGCTGTTATCATACACACGCAGATACGACAGATACGCCCAAAGCGACGCGGTGACGACAGCGACATTTTCGTCCGCTCGTGCTTTTCGCCAGCATTTCTACGATCAACCGCCAGGATCGCGACAGGCAACAGCATGACACTCGCGTCATTTGTTGCCTCATTAGGACCACTTTTGATGTATGGGCGGGATAGGGCGCTAAACACACCAGTCGAAGACGCAATCGAGGCACCATAGCAAGGGTAGCACTTCACTGCATCGTGCGTCTTAATGTGGGGAAGCCCAACACTTCTGAGCGACCCATATTTGGAGTGGAAGGCTTCACCTTACGCACTTAAATACCGCAGTGAAGCTTCCTGGCTCCTTCATAAGTGTATTTTTTATTTTTATTTATTCGTATGAATAATAATGCCGGCCTACTTTTGTGGGCCAAGGCATGTGAGCACATATGTTGCATATCAACAGCGCAGCTCTAGTGATACATGGCTTCAAAAAACATAGTTGAGAAAAAGTAAAAGGTATATCGTACGAACGCTTTTCAATAAACAGGGGTAACACTTAACAAATGATTATTCAAATGGATTTAAAACTCCATCTAAGGCGCTGACAAATGAGTCGAAGGTGGCACTGCCTGTAATGTTGTGAGGCAGGCCATTCCAGTCTCGGACATTCTCGGAAAGAAAGAGTAGTTAAAAATGGTCTTTTCTACATTGAAACTCTCGCAGAAGATTGTCATGCTTCTGCCGTGTGACTCGACTGAGATTGTACACCAGATAGTCTTCGAACTTCATTCCAATCTTATCGTGTATTAATTTATACAAAAAATTTAGACGCTTCACTTTTCTGCGGGTCGATAACTGGGTTAATCCGGATAACGCATAAAGGGATGACACAGCCGTATGCATGCCGTATGCATTATATATAAATCGCAGTGCCTTTTTTTTTTCACTCCTTCAAGTTTGTCAATCAATAACCGTGAATACGGATCCCATAAAATGTCCGCGTACTCGAATAATGGACGAATCAAAGTAGTGTACGCAACAAGCTTAGTTTCCGGGGTACAATGTCGCATAGTCCTTCGAAGACTCCAGAGTTTACGAGTTCCGAGAATTGTGTTCCGAGTAGTTGGGCTCCAGGGGCTTCTCCAGGAATTGAAATTAGGGGGAAGGGAGGGGGGTGCGGGTGGGAGCAGTGAGAATAGAGGAGTCGTTGTGAATTAAGGGGGTGCCTTCAAAAAAAAAAGGGGGGGGGGGGGTTACATCCCCGTAGGGGGGTGTAGGGAAATCACTGTTGGGCTCTCGTATGTCATGCACAATTAAAAACCTCGGCGAGAATAAATATTCTGTCAGTGTCCCTTTAACTGTGCCAAAGTGTTGTCAAGGCGTTGCCAAAGCCAGAAAGGAAAGCTTGCTCTGGAAGCTACCTACTTCATTCTTAACATATAGTCAGTGACCCTGTGTGGCGGCATCTTATTCTGTCAGTTTTTGTGAGTTCACTGCGTTGCTCATAGTCTTAGATTTCTTTTTTTTTTTGTGTGTGTGTGTTTTTTAGTGGAATTATATGAGAAGACGAGCCGATGTATACCCTGCCCCATCATTGCTCACGAAAGTGTTAAAGCTAAGCTCTCGACGAGCCAATTAGTGGGATGGAGCAAAGGTCATTCCGGCAGTTCGCACGTCGGATCGGAGAGTTATTAAACACATGTATTCTTCGCCACCGGTGTTCCAGTCTCGTTTTCGTTGATTGCACACATTGCACGCACGACCCATTGTCCTTACTCTCCGTTGTTGGGCGGCTGTGCATGATTGTGCAGGATTTCCGACTGACACCGTCTGTTGTCATCGTGAAATCCAGGACGTCTGATTAGCACTCTTTAGGGTTGATGCTGATGCAGGTTATAAAACGTGGCAGCAGTCGCTCACAAACCTTGCTTTTTCTAAAGTCCCTCGATATGTTTTTATGAAGAAACTTTAGCTTCTTTCCTCTGGCTGGATGGATGGATGGATGAATACGGCTGAGCCCTTTGGATCGGGCGGTAGCTTACGCCTTTTTCAGTCATATAGCGCCATCTAACGGCGTGTGTCAGATATGAAAGTGTATCTTCGATAGGCTGTGCCGTTAGCACCGTCCCTGTAAGGCCTATCGCATATTTTGTGCTTACCAATCTTACTCAGCATAATAAAGCTTGTGATCTTTTTTTTTTTTTTTTTTTTTTTTTTT